GGAGGAGCGGATGAGGGGTGGGGGCTGGGCACGGTGTGAGGGGCCTGCTTAGGAGAGCCAGGCTGCAGGTTTGGGGAGCTGCCAGCACACAGGGTTCTTGGAGTTGTGGGCGTGGTGAGAGCAGAGGTTTGTAGGGTGAAAAGTCTTTTAAGAGAAGGGTGGGACGGGGGTTGGGTCGGAAGAACAGTTGTCAGGTGTTGGGCCTGCAGGGCCTGGGCTGCTGTCGCACCACCGAGGCGCCTCTCCGCGCCAGCAAAGGCTCTAAAGGCCCAGGTCGAGTTGGGGTTGGGCCTGCTCGGCCGATGTGTCTTCCCAAGCTCTGCGGTGATCTGCGTTCTGTCTGGGTTCTTCTTGGTGATCATCAGAGCATGGGCTGATGGCCGTGTCACAGCCGGAGCCCATCTCCGGCTGTACGGTTGAGGGCTAAAGCCCCCTCCTCTCTAAGGGGACTGTGCCTTGCTAAAGAGAGGGACTGGCCTGGGAGGGACTGAAGAGGAACAAGTTGTCACTTTTCTCTGAAGGGCCACCCCCTCCCTTCTGCCCAGGCTGGCATTCAGAGTGGGCAGCAGGTTCCCAACCTTGACCCCCACCCCAGGCCTGCCTCAGATGATGACCGGGCTGGTCCTGGCCACCCCGTGTCCATGCCTCGTCACGCCCCTCCTCCTATCACTCGGGATGGAGCCAAGGACCTGAATGGGTTCACTTTCTCCAGGTCTTCCCCACCCCTTCTCTTACACTGGGCTAAAGTGTGTGTAATCTCAAACTCTGCTTTAACCATTTTTAGGATTATCGTTGAGTGACACACTTACACTGTGTGTGGCCTCTCTCGCCATTAAACATTAACTCCCCTTCCCTCTCCCCCCATCTGCTGGCACCCACCGTTCTGCTTTCTGTCTCTGAATTTGACTCCTCTAGGGCCATCATAGAAGTGGAGTCACACACTATGTCTTTTTGTGATTGGCTTCTTCCCTTCCACTGAGCGTAATGTCTGAGGTTCATCCGTGTTGTAGCAGGTGTCAGAATTTCCTTCCTTTTTAGGCTGATTTTTGTTCCATCGTGTGGATGGATCACATTGTTTTCATCTGTTCCTCTGTCGGTGGACACTTGGGTTGCTTCCACTCCTTTCCTAATACCACTCCAATCAGGCTTTGGCCCTTCCACACCAGACCTCTCTCATCCAGGTCTCCACGATTTTGTCACCGACCTTGTCACCAAACGCAGCTGGCGATCTTGGGCCTCACTTCTCGTGACCGTGGGCAGCACCCGACAGAGCCCATTGCTCCCTCCTCCCTGACGCCCAGGGCGGGGTTGGGGGGGGTCCTCACACGTGTTCCAGGACCCGTCTGGCACTCGGGGGCCCCTCCCGAGCCTCCTCAGACTCTGCAGCAGGTCCCCCCTCTTCTCTGCCACCTCTTTTTTTTTTTTTTATGGAATGAAATGGAATTAACTCCTTGCAGAGATTAGAAAGTTCACAGTTTAGTGTATTTCCCCTATATAACCCTTCTCCGTGTGACCTTGTTACAAAGGAATGATGCACTTATAGAAAAACAAAACGTGCTTTGCCCTCCCCCTGCAACAGGTGGAGGAGCAAAATGATCATGTTTGGGGGACAACTTTTCTTTTTTTTTTTTTGCGATACGCGGGCCTCTCACTGTCACGGCCTCTCCCGTTGCGGAGCACAGGCTCCGGACGCGCAGGCTCAGTGGCCACGGCTTACGGGCCCAGCCGCTCCGCGGCGTGTGGGATCCTCCCGGACCGGGGCACGAACCCGTGTCCCCTGCATCGGCAGGCAGACTCTAAACCACTGTGCCACCAGGGAAGCCCTCTGCCACCTCTTGAGTGTCCCAGGGCCACTCAAGTGCTTGGGCCACGTCTCCCTCTCCAGCTGCCCATTCCCCACCCCCCAGCCCCCCGGGGAGCTAATCCAGGCTCGGGGCTCTCGGGGCCATCTTTGTGTAATGAGAACTTCCAAAATTCCGTCTCCAGCCCAGACTCTTTCCAGAACTTCAAACTCCTTGTCCACCTGCCTACTGGACATTTCTACTCAGTTGACACCACCATCCCCTCCAAACCTCCTCATCTCCCTGGTGCAGGGCCTGGCAACTGCCATCGTCCCTGGCATCCCAGCCACCCAAAAGCCTGTTGGCTCTGCCTTGCAAACAGGTCCCTAACCCAGACACTTCTCACCTGCACTGCTAGTGCCCTGGTCCCACCCAGTGATCTCCACCTTCTGGGGGCTCTGCTGGAGCCTCCTCCCCAGCCTTCTCCCTCACCTGCCCTCAGAAGAGCACCTGTTCAGTGCAGCATTTGGGCAGCCTTTGCAAACCTCAGCGCCCGGACTTCACACCCACCTTCCCCGCTCGGCATGCTCCTCTTCAGCACACCGTTATCCTTGCTCCCCAAGTATGTCAGCTCCGTGGGGAAAAGGCTTCCTGCCGGATTCCTTCCCTGTTCCGTTCCAAGTTCCCAGAACAGTGCCAGGTGCAGAGACCCTCAGGGCGAATACTTGCCCAAGGAAGCTGCTCGAGGTGGGGAGGCCTCCACCTGCAGCTCCGGCACCTGACAAACAGAGGGCGGGCAGGAGCCAGCTTTTGGAAAATGACGTTTTTATTGCTATGTTTGCAGTGGCTTTTGAGCACAGTAAGGGTGTCCCCGCTGGACCGCCGCCCTCACCCGCCCCCCACCCTTCCAGCCCACGTCAGGGTGTGAGGGAAGCCTTTCTAGGGCCCCCTCGGCTGTCTCGGGATTGGACGTGACACAGACGTGGGTTAAGTGAAGCTGCTACGCGGAGGACTTGAGACGTAGAAAGTGCGTCAGCCTTAAGCTCGCAGGTGGGAGCCGCGCGCAGGATCCCTGGGGTGGGGGACGGATGCCCACCTCAGATCCCTGCCGCAGGGGCGCCCAGCCCAGGGCGCAGGGTGTGGGTCAGCCTGAGCATGCTGAGTGAGCAGCCCCAGGTCCGGATCCCCCCGCAGAACCCTGCGTCGGCTCACCCTGCCGACCTGTGGGCAGAGCGGGGAGTGTGCGGACACCCACCGAGGTCCCCACCATGCACTTTTCCCACCCCAGTCTGGGACCAGGGACTACACGTGCATACCCACACGACAGACTCACACACTCGACAGCTTGAAGCTTCTGTTTTGCCTATGAAAATGAGATCTATAAATTCACACTCCTTGGCTGGGGCAGAGGTGTAAGAGGGGCTGAAAGGGATGGGGCGTGGCAAGGAGAGGGACGTTGGGGTGTTTCTCTTAGAAATATACAAGCAGAAATCTCAAGTTTTTATAAAATGTGCAAAATACAAGCCTCATTTGCCCACAGGCACAACTTACACCTGGTATTCACCTTGGCTAAGAAATAGAGATCTATGTCTATACCCTACGTACTCACGCACACATGCACTCAAGCTCACACAACTGCTATTGGTGGCAATTGGCTCAGGAACTGAAGGTTCCCTTGCTGGCTGGCTCTCTAAGCTTCTAGAGAAGGGACGGGGAGAAGGGTCTAGCCCAGCTGAAATATTCGCCTTGGTTCTGCTGCCCCCTCCCTCGCCTGCCCCCTCTGCCCTCCAGTCTCCCTGTTCCCCGAGCTGCCACTGCTGCCCCTGGGGTGAGGGGCACCCAAGGGTGTGCCGGGCAGAGCCTGGAGAGAGGCAGGCAGGGCCTGGTGGGGTCAGGTGAGACTCGACGGTGGCGGGCACTGGAGGGCGGGCGGCAGGGCTTGGCACGCAGCGTGTGCACCAGCTTGGTTAAGGGGGGTGGGGGAGGCATCTATTTTTGGTGGGTTGTGATATTTTTGGCGTTTTATTAAAAATGGAAAAAGTTATTTTAGTTATAAGCACTCTGGTGCTTCCTCCCCTCCACCACCCCACCCCGGCAGACCCCGTAGGTGTCAGGGAAAGGCAAGCCCCCTGGGGGGGTGGGGGGCCAGAGCAGGGGCTGCTATGGCTACGAGAGGGTGAGCTGGTGATGTGAGCCGGGGCACCTGTCACATGACGCTCTCCACCACCACCACCTTGCTGCTCTCAGACACTGGGGTCAGGGTGGTCAGGCCCCTGACATCCGAGTCCTGAGCTCTGTACTCCAAGTGGTGGAGGCCCCAGACGGGCTGCGTCAGGTGCTGCCAGCGCTGCGGGAGACAGGGCCACGTTGAGTCCCGGGGGAGGGGCACCTGCTTGTCCCTGGCCTCTCTCCGCTTCCCGCCACCTGCCACCAACTTGGGGCCCGGGGCCGCGCCCGCGCCCCTCCTGACCGGGCCCCGCTCCCTTCGCCAGGGAAATAAATAGGGCTTCAGCGGAGGGCCGAGTGGCTGCCAGAACAGAGGCTAGGGACAGGCCTCCTCCGCCTCCACCACCTGAGCGAGGCCCTGGAGGGCCAACTCAACTCCCGCACGCCCCGCTCCGGGCTGGCCCGGAGGCTCCGGCACAGCGGTCTGTCCTGGCGGGTGGGAGAAGGGGCAGGGCGCTCTGGAGGTCACGTCTCCAGCCAGCGGGAGGGAGGGATGGTGTGCGGGAGACGGGCGCGGGGAACTGACCTCAGCCACGGTCCCCTTGGCCCTGAGGAGGCGGCCCAGGAGGTGCAGGGGCACACACAGCATGGAGGAGAGCGCGAAGCCCCAGCCCACGGCCTCGCCCCACCACGGGTACACGTAGGTGTTGTTGTAGACCAGCGGCTTGTAGTACACCGCGTTGAAGATGAAGATGCCCTGCGGGCGAGAAGCCTCGCGCTCAGCCGGCAGCCACCGCTGCGGGCCCCTGCTGCGCCTCGCCCTGCCCGGCCTCTCCCGGCCCTTACCATGCACACCAGCGGGGTGAAGAAAGACCAGCACCATTTCATCCAGGGGCAAGGTCGGTACCCGATCATGCAGGCCACGTCGTCCATGAAGCGGTCGGCTCCTGGGGTCACGTGAGGCCGGAGGGCCAGAGCTAGAGACGCACCACCCCTGACCGCGCCGCACCCCCGGCTTGCCTGTCGGCCCAGACCTACCGTACACCCAGGCGATCACCACGCACTCCCAGAAGGCCTGCCAGAGCAGGGTGGTGCCGCTGGCTGAGTAGTAGTCAAACAGCTGGAAGACATACATCCCGCCCTGGGGATGCAGCCAGGTCAGGGAAGGTGGCAGCCGGCAGCCCGAGGCCAGGGGCGTCCCTCACCCTGCCCCCACTCACATCGGTCACCATGGAGAGATCGATGAGAAAGCAGAGGGCGCAGCAGAGGGCCACGGAGATCTCTCTTTGGAAGCGGAAACAGTAGGAGGCCGGGAGGAGGTCCAGCAGGCCGGTGATGAAGCCTTCCACACCTACAAACTGTGGCCGGGCAACTCAGGCCGTGCCCCCCCCCCCCCCTCCCAGCCCCCTCCCTTGCGCCCCCCGTCGCAAACCTGGCTGTCAAGGCCAAGCAGCAGCAGCATGAAGAAAAACAGAGCAGCCCAGAGCGGGGCCACAGGCATCAGCGTGACGGCCCGGGGATAGGCGATGAAAGCCAGGCCAGGCCCTGAGGGGGAAGGGGCAGGGTGTGGACACCTGGAGCCCCCCACACACGTCCTGTCCCCCTCCACCCCGCACCACGGTACCAGAGGAGTGGACGATGCCAGGGCACCCTGTGGCCAAGGGCCTTTCCGCTTGTGTCAAGACACTGCCGGGCCACTCGAGCCCCGGTGTGTGTGTGTGTGTGTGTGTGTGTGTGTGTGTGTGTGTGTGCGTGTGTGCGTGTGTGCGTGTGTGCGTGTGCGCGCGCGCGCGCGCACGCGCACACGTCCGTGCATCTGTGCGTGTGTGTGTGCACGTGCATGCATCTGTGCGTGCGCGTGCGTGTGCGCGTGCCTGTGCGTGCGCGCGCGCGCCATACCAGGGGCCGGAAGGTTCCCGCCAGCCCTCGGTAGACCTGTACCCGTAAGAGTGGCGTGTCTGGCTCAGCCTTCTGGACCTGGGCTCCAGCAGCTACTGTGCTCGCAGGTCACCACTGACCCAGAAAAGGCCGACCTTTCCCTTTACAACACTCAGGCAAGTGTGAGGACATACCCCGAGGCCCCTGCATACAGATGGATGGGGGCTCGGGGCTCCACGTGGCCTGGCCTGAGATGGCTGAACAGCTGTGCCTCGCAGCTGCTCAGGCAGGCCTCCTGGCCCAGAGTGATGTGACAAATTGAGTTTGAATTGTTCTCATTTCTCAGAACGTCGTTCTGTGTGCGTTCGCGAACACGGTCCGTTAAGACAGCAGCTGCCGCTGCTCCGGAGGCCGGGCCGGGGCTTGGGGCGTCTTTACCTGATTCCGCCACCTTGGAGATGTGCACGCCCTGCTCTGTGGCCATGAAGCCCAGGATGGAGAAGACCACGAAGCCAGCAAAGAAGCTGGTCCCGCTGTTGATGAGTGCGAGGATGATGGCATCCCTGGGGGCAGAGGGGACCGTGTGGGCTGGTGAGACTGCCTGCTGCCCACGCGCAGGCAGGGCAGGGGTGGCAGGGCTGTAGTGCCTACTTGTAGCAGTTGTTGTTGAAGCGATTGTAGCTGCCCAGGGCCGTGAGGGCCCCCAGGCCAATGGCGTAAGAGAAGAAAATCTGGGTCCCGGCATCTATCCATACCTGGAGATGAGCGAGGGGAGAGCAGGCGTGAGGAGCCCTGCTAGGCCAGCCTGCTCCCGCGCCGTGTCCCCCCACCCGACCTCCACGTCACCTGAGGGGACGCCAGCTTCGACCAGTCAGGCTTGAGATAGTAGATGATGCCGTCCACGGCTCCAGGCAGCAGCACTCCACGCACGAGCAGCACAACGAGGACCACGTAGGGGAATGTAGCGGTGAAATACACGACCTGGGGGGCGGGGGTGCTCATAGGGGTCCTGCGGCACCCACCTCCCTGGCCTGTGCAGGGCTGCCAGGAAGGCCACCGTCCCCGCCCGCCCGCCCCCCCTCTGCTGGCCGGTGTGCTCAGTGGTGAGGAGGGAGGCCACCCAGCGGCACCCCCTTCTACTCATCAGAGCCACGACTCCTCCCAAAGGAAGCTGGGTGCTTGGCTGGGGCACCAGCAGCCCCACGGCGAGCACAGGTCAGCTGCAGAGGGAGGGAGAGGCAGGGCCCTCCCCTGGCAGGGAGCGAGGCTGCAGCCCACAGGCAGGTCCCACGCCTCCCATGCCGACTCCAGGTCCTGGTCTGCAGAGAGGCGGGGGTCCTTGGTGCCGGGGATTAGAACTCAGCTAGCCAGAGACAGAGGCAAGATCAAGACAACAGCAAAGGCCTCTGCCTCCCACGCAAGCAGCGCCAAGCGGCTGCTCTGCAGACCCTGCTGGAATGCTCCCGCCCTCCAGAGACCTGGCCGTGCCCCGCGTGTCCCGCAACCATCGGCACGCTGTCTTATTGTGTGTCTGTTCACACAGTTGTCCCCACAACCTGACAGGGAGCCCCTGAGGGAGGGATGGGTCCACGCTCCCCGCTGGGTCCCCGAGGGCAGACAGGCAGGTGAGAGAGACAGACCGAGAAGGTCAAAAGCTGACGCAGAGCCAGAACCCAGAGAAAGTGGAAGGGAGGGACGGCGAGCCAGGGATGCCCCCACCCCAGGGAAGGGGAAGCCGCTGCCGGGGCCTCTCCACCTCCACTCGGGTCAGAAGGCTGCCGGGCCTGGGGGCGCAGGGTGGGGAGGACTCTCCAGCCAGGGGGTGGGGATCAAGTGGCCCGGACTGAAGTCCCTGCCCCTCCTCGGGCTCTGGCCCTGGTGCAGTCTCCTCCCGTGGCAGCAGTGGTCGCTGGCAGACACCCACAGCCCCCCAGGCAGTGCTGCCCCCAGCGCTGCCATCACCCCGGCTGTACGTTTCCTGTTGACCCCCTTCCAGACACAGAAGTAGACCAGCACCCAGCAGGCCAGCAGACACAGGGTCACCTCCCAGTTGAGGGCCCTCGGAACCTCCAGGCCCCCGGAGAGCCGCAAAACTTTGTTCCTGGGGGAGGGAAGGCCCATGAGGGCTGTGCCAGCAAGCCCCCCCCGCCGCCGCAGCCCTTGGGTCCAGCCAGTCTCCCCCATGCACCTGGCCGGCCCGGGCCAAGCTTGCAGCCTGAAGTCGCTGCAGTCTGTGTCCCCGGAGCCTTGGAGCCCCTGGCGGCCTGGCCCCACGCCGTCCCCAGTGGGCCCAGCAGCAGCCCCCCCGCTTCCCTCCCCAGGTGGGCAGGCACCGCCCGCTCCACACCCCTGGCCTCATCCCCACAGGGCAGGCCCCGACACGCGCGCGTGCACACGCACACACATGCAGACTTGAGCTACGTGTGGGAGACCAGAGAGACAGGCGGGGCCTGGCCCAGAGGTGCCTGACTCACTCCCAGAACTCGATGACAGGGGACCGGCGGTCAGCAAGCTGGTCACAAGTGAGGTTGGCCAGGGTGGCATTGGCACAGTCTTCGTGGCGGAAGATCTCCACACAGTCGGGAGTGTTCCAGGTATGGCCACACGTGGCCCAGGGCAGCGTGGTGGTGAAGGACTTCACCAAATAATAGAAGCCCCAGGCCAGCACCATGATGTAGTAGGTGTTGCAATAGAAGACGATCACCATGGAGGCATAGCCCAGGCCTGGAGAGGAGCAGAGTTTCCGCGCAGGCTCTTTTCTGGCCAGTTCCCCACCGTCCCCACTATCTATCTGGCCAGGCACTGCCAGCGGTCCCTGCTGGACCCCTAACATCCTGCTCCCTGCATCTGCCGTCCTCCCCCTCCCACACCATCCATGCAACTAGATCCTTCTCTGTTGCTGTCCAACCAGACCTCTCCCAAGTCCCCCTGGAGTCTCCCTTGTGCTGTGTCCCCAGCGCTAGGCTAACTCCTCAATCTGTCCCCCCAAATCAGCCCCTGCTCCCTGCCCCCGCCCTGCTTCACCTCCTGCATCCTCCCCAGCCCCAAAGCAGAGCACACATCCTGCCCCCATCTGAGAGTCAAGTCCTCTTGTTTCCCTAGTCTCACATACCTGTCCCCTTCTCCTGGGTCCCACTGCCACCATGATGGTTGAAGGAAGGCCATGCCTCCACCTGCCCCCCACCCAGTGGCCTCCCGTACCAGCAGCTGGGGGGTTTTCTGGGGACCTGGGGCAGTGTGGGAGACAGTCACCCTCTCAGCAGGCAACCTCGGCCAGTCACTTACTTCACCTCTCTGTGCCCCAGCCTCTGAGGACGGTAACAGTAGGACCTACCTCCTAGAGCCTTGAGCTGATGGGTGAACACTGCCCACACACAGAAGGGGCTTGGCGGTAACCCTGGCCACTGGTCCTTCCCTTCAGACCCTGAACTTTCAATGGCTCCCGTCCCAGCTCCTTAGGCTGGCCCTCTGGCTTCTCCTGCCATCACGTCTCACGCCCAGCCACCCTCCTTTCAGCCCCAGCGAGCCAAGTATACTCGGCAGGGCCTGTCCCGGGCGCTGCTGGGACTGGGCTTTCTCGCCCTGGTGGAGAGGTCCATCCCCCACTCTAGTCTCCATCTCCCCAAGGTCAGCCAGGTGGTCTGCACGTCCTCCAGTTTCTCCTCACAGCTTGGGGGGCGTCCCAGGCCCGGTGCTCAGACAGGAGGTGCTCAGGCTTGTTTCTCAAGTGGGTACCAGCTTTGCCCCAGCGGCGGGAAAGGGGAGAGGTCCCGGAGGGAGAGGGTGAGAGGGGCTGCCTGGGGCTGCTCACCTTTGAACAGGGGGCAGATGTTCCACACGTTGATGCTGCCGGCCTTCATGAACTGGCCCAGTGAGATCTCCAAGAAGAAAATGGGGATTCCTCCGACCAGGGCGATCAGGATGTAGGGAATGAGGAACACACCTGGGGGATGAAGCTCAAGGTGGCCACTTGCACAGGGTGGCCCCTTAGCCAGGTGGGGACTTGACCCAAACTCAGCCAGGCCAGGCCAGCCAGCCTGGCTTTCAGAAGCCCTGGGAGGCGGGTGGAGCCCCAGCTTCAGGCTCCGCCCGGGGCCCATCATAACTTCCCACTGAGTGAATCAGTGCGAGGGGTGGCTGCTGACTCAGGGGCCCAAGGTGAACAGTCTTGGGGAGGTGGAGTGTCGAGGGGCCTACGGCAGCCCCTGGGCCCTTAGAGCCCTGTTTCCTGGGCTGGGGGTCCCCTACAAGGCTTCTGCCCCTACTCACCTATGGTGACCTAACTAACGGGCACAGAGAACACACGCACTTGTGGACACAAGCCACTCCGTGGCCGGCGCTCAGGCCCGGGGATGTGCCGAGCTTGGGCGAAAGGAAGGGAGCCCTGGCCTGTGCCGGCACCCAGACTCTTTCCTGCAAGTGTGAAGGTCCAGGGGAGAGGGTGGATGGGTAGGTGGGTAGCAGTCGTCTGCCAGTGGGCAGAGTGGAGGGTGTCTGAAAGGGCATGTGAGCAAGGACAGAAGGAGACAAGGTTGGGGGAGGCTGGCAGGGACCTCAGGCTGGGGGTGGGGGAGCCCTTCTCCTCTCCAGGACCCCTACCCTTGCCCCCACTCGGCACTCTCCACTACTCAAAAGCTGAGCTTGGTTGCAGCTTGCTTGGCTTCTGGTCTCAGCATCCTTCTTGCTTGTGACCTTGGGCAAAGGCCTTCTCTCTGGGCCTCAGTTTCCCACCCGTCATCTAGTCACTGCGGCTTCCCACCAACCCTGGTGCTGCTTTGCAGTCACAGGACACACGCGTGCCACACGTTGATGCTGCCGGCCTTCATGAACTGGCCCAGTGAGATCTCCAAGAAGAAAATGGGGATTCCTCCGACCAGGGCGATCAGGATGTAGGGAATGAGGAACACACCTGGGGGATGAAGCTCAAGGTGGCCACTTGCACAGGGTGGCCCCTTAGCCAGGTGGGGACTTGACCCAAACTCAGCCAGGCCAGGCCAGCCAGCCTGGCTTTCAGAAGCCCTGGGAGGCGGGTGGAGCCCCAGCTTCAGGCTCCGCCCGGGGCCCATCATAACTTCCCACTGAGTGAATCAGTGCGAGGGGTGGCTGCTGACTCAGGGGCCCAAGGTGAACAGTCTTGGGGAGGTGGAGTGTCGAGGGGCCTACGGCAGCCCCTGGGCCCTTAGAGCCCTGTTTCCTGGGCTGGGGGTCCCCTACAAGGCTTCTGCCCCTACTCACCTATGGTGACCTAACTAACGGGCACAGAGAACACACGCACTTGTGGACACAAGCCACTCCGTGGCCGGCGCTCAGGCCCGGGGATGTGCCGAGCTTGGGCGAAAGGAAGGGAGCCCTGGCCTGTGCCGGCACCCAGACTCTTTCCTGCAAGTGTGAAGGTCCAGGGGAGAGGGTGGATGGGTAGGTGGGTAGCAGTCGTCTGCCAGTGGGCAGAGTGGAGGGTGTCTGAAAGGGCATGTGAGCAAGGACAGAAGGAGACAAGGTTGGGGGAGGCTGGCAGGGACCTCAGGCTGGGGGTGGGGGAGCCCTTCTCCTCTCCAGGACCCCTACCCTTGCCCCCACTCGGCACTCTCCACTACTCAAAAGCTGAGCTTGGTTGCAGCTTGCTTGGCTTCTGGTCTCAGCATCCTTCTTGCTTGTGACCTTGGGCAAAGGCCTTCTCTCTGGGCCTCAGTTTCCCACCCGTCATCTAGTCACTGCGGCTTCCCACCAACCCTGGTGCTGCTTTGCAGTCACAGGACACACGCGTGCCCATCGCTGTTGCTAAGCTGGGCTGGGGCGGGCGGGCGGGCAGGCATGGGGTGTGCATGCAGTGTGTCCAGCGGCGGCGCCAGGCGGCCCAGGCTGCAGGCTTCCCAAGCCTGGCTCAGGCACCCAGTGTTCCAGGCCCAGGCTAGAGGGGAGGGAGGGGAGGGGAGGGAAGGGGAGAGAGGGGAAGGGAAGGGAGGGGAAAGCAGAGGGAGGGACAGAGTGGCCCATTGTGTGTGTGTTCGTGTGTGCACACGTGGGGGGCCCACACAATGTGCCACTTGTGTGCCTGACCTGTGGGGGCAGCCAGGGCTCCTCACCTCTGGAAGCCCCCCCCCCCAAGGG